GGGATCATGACCTGAGCAGAAGGCAGACGCTTAACAACTGAGCCACCCAGGCGCCCCTTGATCTGAGTTTTAGAGGAGATGTTGAATTTAGCAAGGTGTTGTTTAGGTCTGTTTTACCAGATCCTGACCATCTTGTCATCTATTTTAGGGCACAGATTAGTCCTAAGCCTAGCAGGGAACCACTACCTCCCTGGCTCCTGCTTCTTCACTTTTGCCATTCCTTGGTCTGAGTGAAGTGTTTCTCCTCACAGCGTTGGAAGAACCCTATTCTTGCCCCTAACTCTTTTTATCAGACTGTATCTATTGCTCATTATCTCTTCCTCCCTGATTTCTGTTAAGTGTTGGGGGGTTGGGATTTGTACTCCTACGCTTATGGTAGGGCCACGTAGATATATATCGAACGTCTATGAAAGGTTGATCAACAAGATAAGCAGGCTATGATAGCAAGAGGGATGGTCCGTGGTGGATAAGAGTAAGGAGCATAGGGAGCAGAACAGGTGAGAACTGCTACCCCCACTGTGGCTGGACAGTAGGGACCGTTGATTGGCCTTAGGCCGAATTGAATTTCCCTTCCTGGATCACTGGCATTTTTTCTTAATCTCTTCACTTCCTAGTTCCTCAGTGCCTTCACCTTACTATTTTTCTTTCAACAAAAGCCATTCGCATTAATGTGCATGGCAAGATGGAAACTAAGGAGGGCACCTCTAATTTGAAGGAATTTTCTTGGGACCACTTGGAGAGCGTGATATGTGCCCCCAGAAGACTAGTGTCTGCCTCCACCTGTCCACCTGGAAAACAGGTGGAGAGAGAAAAAAAAAGGAGGGGGGGTAGAGAGACAGGCTAGCTAGCTGTTCAAATGGCGGGGGGATTGATAGAGAGGCTACTGCTGTGCTGGGTTAGGCCCGCAGGTCCAGAGGCTGTTGGGCAACTAGGGCATCTCCAGTCTACAGGGCATTTGCTCTGTCCTTAGCCAGCACCTAGAAGTCTGGTGATACCTATGGCATTTCTCCTTTAAGAGGATCTTTTGCCTTTTTAGGTAGTCCTTAGACTAGAGCTAAGATGACTTCTTGCTGTGTACCTCCCCTGGGTCCATATCTTTTCTTACAGAGATGTGGACTTTCTTCCATGATAATTTGCTGCACAGAGGACAGTCTTGGTCCCCAGAGAATAAATCTTTAATTACAGAATGTTAGGCTTTAGGCAGCTAGAAAAGAGGAGAAGAGAGTATAAGCTGAAAAGGGCCCTCCTCACTCACCAGGGAGGTATGACCCGTAAGGCTACCCATTTTAAGGACGGGCAGATTTGGATGGAGAAGATGCTGTATAAGTGAGCTGTATTAGCTCCCACAATCTGCCCGTCTCTGTCCTTGTTGGAGATAGCCCAACATTCTAACGCAGATTGCAAATCTGGATGAGAGGGTATGCATGTTTTTTCAAAAAAAGACAAAGAACACCTATAAAATTACCTAAGTTTTCTTATTTAGATCTTAATATAGTTAGGGAGTCAGCTACCATCACTTTCCTCCTGTGAGGGGGGAAAAGAGTGAGCTTCACAGAGTGAGAAGAGGAAGTTCATGAGTGATTGATGAGTGCTCCACTAGGGGGGGATTTTTGGAGGTGGAGGAGGTTTTCTGATTGACTTTCAATTACATCTGGCCATCTTTGATTGGTTCAGTATCTACTGATTTCCAGGCTGAGTGGAGTCATGTGGGTTTTCAGTCTCAACTAGAAGAACATCTGACCCTCAGCCTCAGGGTCAGAATCTTACATAAGCATTTCCTCCATTTGGGCAATGTTATGGTTGAAATTTAACCTGAAGCCCAGTCCAAATAAATGTCTTACATGTACTACTATCTATTCATATGAATCTATCTATTCGTAAGCCTCCGGCTTAGTACCTGCACACACAGATAAGCAGGCTGGAGTCCAGGGGCCACTCACCGTTCTTTCCTTTTCCACTGTGGCCCAGCTGGAGGGACATGGAGAGAAGTGGAAGCACCCTTGTCTCTCCCAGCTTGACCCAGGTCCCTCCCTCTTCTATCAGAACTCCTATTTCCCCTCATGTGCCTAGCAGACTATGGAAGATTCTGGGCCCTGTGAACTCACCTGGAACACTCAAATGGAGGAAGGAAAGCAAAAGAGGGCCAAGGAAAGGGAAGTATCAACTTTCAAGTGTGACTTTATTCACCAGAGAGGGAGCAAAAGTACAAGTCAAGGGTGTGCAGAAGTATGGAGTGGTGATTATGATTCAGGTCCCATGGGATGGAAAGTCATCCCCTCCTCACTTCGCCTTCTACCTCCATGCCCATTCTCTCTTTCTCTCTTTCTCTCTCTCTCTCTTTCACACACACACACCCCTCCCTCCCTAACACACGATTTGTCAGTTTAAACCAGCATGCAAAACTGGATATGTGTTTCTTAGATTTTTTTTTAATTCTATTTCTACCCTGCAAGATTATATTAAATTTATAAAGTTGTTCTCCTCACCTCCATTCAATTCCCTAGTTCCTGACCTTACCAAGTACAAATATTTGATTGATTTGGAGAAGGAGACCCACAAGATTTATGAAAATCTGTGTTTCCTCAAGACTAGGAAAAGGGCACTGAGGTCAGATGGTCAAGTTCTGTTTTCCTCCAAAGCTCTGGTGGATCCTTGTTCCCAGAGGCAGCCCAGTGTAGACAGCCATGCTCTCTTTCTCTTATATCCAGAGCACTGGGTTGTGGGCGAGGTGCAACAGGAGACTGAAAATCACTACTATCATTATGGCGAATCATCTTTAAAGATTTCTTGTCTTTGGAAAAAATGTCCAATAGAAAGAGAATGGACAAATACAATGTCATACTATGAAAAAACTATCGCCAAAAATTACACCACAGGTGAGTATTTAACAATATAGAGAACTGTTCATTAAATATTAATAAAGAAAATAAACAGCATATAAACAACTTGTAAATGTTAATGTTCATAATATATATGGTTATATAGTTCTCATTGAGACAGAGTAGAATAATGGGCATTTTAAATATCCCTCTTTTTATTTTATCTGCATTTTCTATAATCAACATGTATTATATCTGTACTAAGAAAATATCACAAATACTTTAAAATATGTATTATCAGAAATCCATGGGGCACCTGTGCAGCTCAGTGAGTTAAGCCTTCAACTCAGGTCATGATCCCAGGGTCATGGGACCAAGACCCACATAGGGTTCCCTGCTCAGGGGGGAGTCTGCTTCTTCTGCTCCCCCTGCTTGTGCTCTCTCTCCCTCTCTGTCAAATAAATAAATAAAATCTTTAAAACAAAAAGGAAATCCATCTGCCTGTTTGACATCATCCAAATCTTTGTTTTGTCTAATTTAAAAAGAAATAAAAGATAATATTTTTAAAACCAAAGTAAGTGCTTTGTCAACACCAGGAAAGCAGAACCAAAGCATTTGCCAGAGCCCAACCTGGTCAGACACCAGACCAGCCTGGGGACCCACTTGCTTTTGCAGCACTGATGATCCTCAGGTCCCCAGAGGCATCAACATCCCCAAGTCTTCCAAAGGTAATAAAAATTACTGTAAACTGGTCTGTATCGAATCATCCAAATTGGATAAAACAGAAAGATCTGGATTCTTGTAGAACTCTGTCATGGTCCAGGAATGTAACCTTGGACAAGCCACTTGATCTCTCCAACCTCTGCAAAAACAGGCCCTTCTTACTCACTCACCAATGATTCATGGAGGCACTCCTGTGTGCATAGGCACTATTCATTAGCACTGCCTTAGGCTCATGCTAGAATGCTACAAATCTATGTTATTTTATAGACTTTCCCCCAATTTAATTTATACCACCACTGCCATACTTCAACACAGAATTATCCAGAATTTTCAAGGCTTGAGAGTGGAGCAGAACTATTGTAATCTAAGTATTGAGACTTCCAGAAATAAGAGAAAATTAGTGTGGGCTTTTTAAAGGTGACAGAGGAGGCAAGACTGGGGTAAGGGATAAACTGAATGAAGAGTTAGAGAGGGACCAGATCGGAATCCACTTGGCTTAGAACAACTTGGAAGGAGGGGGCAAAGGGGATAATCCCCAGCAAAAGCAGTGGGGAAAATTAAAGATCATGTTGATAAATTCCTAAGCATAATAGTCTAAATGCCTTATTTTCCCTCAATGTACCATTCATTATTCTTTTCAGGCAAGAACAATCTGAACCAAACAATGTTCCTGTGTTTTCTATTATTGCAAGAGAGGGAGAGATCGAGCCAAACATCTTTGTCCTTGAATATTTAGTAAAATCCATGGTAAGATCATGTATTTTAACAAATATGGGAAACATGGGCCAAAATCAATAGAGACTGGTGTTTTGTTCCAGAAAAACTACACAGGATAAACATGGCCATAAAGGACATAATAGTGTCAGGAAAAGCTATTTTTATACTTCTCAGAAGATATTTAGATACATTGCTAGGCACAGCATTTTGTTTTGGTTTTGGTATATCATAATTTGATTGTTTTTCCTCATTGCACAGCAACATGCTTACCAAGAAAATTTAAAGGGCCACCAGTAGTAAACAACTAGAAAACAAACGAATTGAAAAATGCTCACATAAGGACATGTACTCACACTCAAATGCAAACTCACACAGACATGGATAAATGTAAGAAAAAGATAAAGGGGTGCCTGGGTGGCTCAGTTGGTTAAGTGTCTGCCTTCGGCTCAGGTCATGATCTCAGGGTCCTGGGATCGAGTCCTACATCCGCTCCCTGCTCAGCGGGGAGTCTGCGTCTCCTTCTCCATCTACCCCTCCCCCTGCTCATGCTCTCTCTCTCTCATGTTCGCTCTCTCTCAAATAAATTAATTAATTAATTAAATTAAATAAGAAATAAAAAGAAATAGGGGCGCCTGGATGACTCAGTTGGTTAAGCGTCCAACTCTTGATTTTGGCTCAGGTCATGATCTCAGCATCGTGAGATCGAGCCGTACATTGGGCTCTGTGCTGAGTGTGGAGTCTGCTTGAGATTCTCTCTTTCCTTCTCCCTCTGTGCCTCCCCTTGCTCTCTCACTTTCTCTCTCTCCCTCTCAAATAAATAAATAAATCTTTAAAAAAGAAGAAAAAGAAATATGAGATAATCAATAAGGAAAACTGACCGCTAATCAGAAATTTAACTATGAGAACAAAAATTCCTTTGGGCAAAATTTGGTGAGCACATTCCCTCTTTATGAGACTCCAAAGAGCCCACCCAATGTCATGGGGAACAAACTAGTTGAAACAATGTCATGTTATTTTAAAGAACTCCACCGTGCTCAGTTATCTTAGCCAAATATGGGGGTAGTAAAGTAGAAGTGCATTGTGTGTCAAAGTAGACAGCGGTCAAGGGGTAAATCAAACCTAGTTAGAGGCTCTGAGGTCAGGACTGAAGATGTTCCTGGCCAGTATGACAGTTTGATTCATTAAAAGAACACTAACAGCAAACGAAACTCATTTTTCATTATACAAAAAAGTAATAATGTTCTATGATTCATAACTATATATTTCCTTTACTTGTGTTAAAAAGCTAAGAAAGCTCAATTGAAATTATTAATGTTTACTCTTTGGAATCCAGAAATGTGCCATTTGATGATTTTTCAGCTATTACATGCACGCCCAGGTGCTCTGTATAGATTCTAACATTATTGGAGTATTTTGTATGTGCAAAGGCCTGTTAGAAAACTTCTGCCCTTACCTCCCTCTCCTTCACACACATACATCTCTGCTTTCCTAAGTAAAAGGCTGTAGCATTGTGCTTTATAGATTGTACATTACATATTAGGCAACGAGATATGTGAAGTACACTTGATCCCAAGCCTTATCCCTCACTGATTGTAAGATCTTCAGCAAGTCCATTTCTGAATTACAGCTTCTACATCTGTAGAATGGAGCTAAGAATACCTTTTTATTGGTGGTTTTATAAACAGGTTCTTTAATTTTTTGACACTCCTCCCATCCTCCCATTGAGAGGTAGAATCCAATTCCCTCCCTTAAACATGTCCCAGACTTCGTGACTCATGTCTAAAGAATGGAATGTGGCAGAAATAATACCATGTGACTTCTGAGACGAAGTTCTCCCTGGCTCTCTCCCTTGGAATGATTGCTCTTGGAACCCAACCACTTCACCATTTGGTGGAAAAGCCAAGCTGCCACAAGGAAAGATCCCACATAAGTATTCCAACAACGGTTCCAGATGAACTCCCAGATGACAACCAACATCAGCTACCAGATACGTGAATGAGTTTTCAGATTGTTCTCTCCCCCAATCTTTGAGCCACCCCAGCTGACACTGAGCACAGCAGAAACTGTCTCCTCCAAGTTCTCCCAAAATTATAGAGTCAGGAGCAAATAGATACTGTTACTAGTTTAAGCCATTACGTTTTTGGGTGGTTTGTTGTACAGCAACAAATAATTGGAACAGATTTTGGTACCATGACAAAACTGAAAACATGTAGCAATGACTTCAGGACTGGTCAGACTGCAGAATTTGGGAAGGTCTTCGAGAAATTGTTAGTGGAAGCTTAATGGCTTTTTTTTTTTTAAGATTTATTTATTTATTTTAGAGAGCAGTGGGGGAAGGGGCAGAGGGAGAAGGAGAGAGAGAATCTCAAGCAGGCTCCAAAGCCAATGCAGAGCCCACACGGGGCTCCATCTCACCTCCGTGAGATCATGACCTGAGCTGAAATCAAGAATTGGACGCTTAACTGACTGAGACACCCAGGCGCTCCAGCTTCATGGCTTTTGAAGAGGTTATTGGTGAGGGTTGACAGGAAAGTAAGGAAAATGTTATTGGGAGCTGTCATAAAGTGGTAGAAAGTTCAGCAACACTGTCGATCTGTGGTAATACGGAAAACAGAAAATACACAGATTAACAGAATGACCTAAGGCAGCATGACAGGGGCTGCCTGGTTTTTCCCTGGCTGCAGCAAAATGCAAGAGGAGAGAGAGAAGAAAGAACTGTTGCGTACAAAGGACCCAGGAACTGCCGGGTTGGAAAATAACAGTTTCTCTTTTCCCACCTCTCCAAGTGGCAAATGAAATGGCTTCCAGGTAAAGATCGGATTCAGAGTGATCTCAGGAAACCACAGTTCAAAGGTGAGGCCACCAGTGTGACTAAGTGCTGGCAAAGATTTCAGGTGTTGCTTTGTCGACGTTTGCAAGTGGAGGAAAAGGCCCACAAATGGAAAGGGGGTTACCAGACGGCAGCTTTGGAGAATCTAAGGTAAAGAATGGCTAAGCGAGATTTATGGGAGTAGCTTTTGCCTGAGTTGCTGATACACTGATTCATAAGAAGCCCACAACTTTTTTTTTTTTTAATTACAATCATTCTAGACTGAGAGGGCCAGTCTGGCTATTGGATCCCCAGACTTCTAAGGTCTGAGAGCCACCTGAAGAACTATGAGCGGTAAACATGGGCTCTTTTAGTGGAGAAGGAAGACTGGCTCCAGGGATGGAACCAGGGGTGCAGTGGGTGGAGCCAAAAGCTACTTCCAGGAAGTAGCGCTGAGTCCTGATGGAGGAATTGGCGAATTGAGCTCAGGTGGGATTCGGAGCTCTTGTGTCCCAGGGATGGCTGTACGCCTCCTGCTTTTCTTTTTTGAACAGAAGTGTGTATAGTGCTGATCCTGGGAGTGTCCCACCACCGTATATTAGACGTGGTTGGCAGCTGGCTTGTCTCTTGATTCATCGGCCTTCAGATTGAGAGGAGCTGCATCTGGAGCAGAGTACCCAAGGAGCCTCTGCTCCACCTGCACCTGATTTATGTGTGCAGATCATGACCCTCAAGCTTGAGTGTGAGGCTACAGCAGGTGCAACGTTTAAGTGGTCTAGGTATGGGGTGTGTGTGCGTGTGTGCGTGTGCTGGGTGATGAGTGTATTTTGCATGTAGGGGAAAATGTAAATTATTTATGTACAGTGGGTGCGTTGTGATCATCTTAAAACATATCCATAAATTATTTCAAATTCTTCCCAACAAAAAACAGAGCCTAATTTCCCTTTCTTTGAATCATAGTTGGCTTCAGTGACTTGCTTCTAACAAATAGAATATGGCAGAAGTGATACTGTGTTACTTCTCAGACAAGATTACAAAACGAGAGACAGCTTTCACCTTGTTTTCTTTTTCTTGGGATGTTTGCCTTTGGTAACCCAGCTGCCATTTTAGTAGGAAGCCAACAGCCACATGAAAAGGCCATGAATAGGTGTTTGGCCCCAGCTGCAGCTGAGGTCCCGGCTCACAGCCAGCATGAACCAGCAAACTGTGAGTAAACGAGTTTCCTGAGGGCCTCAGCCATCAGTCTCAAGCCACCCCAGATGATAGGGGTGCCATATCCTTACTGGGTGCAAAGGGAGCAAAGACAAACTGTCCTTGCTCAGCCCTGCTCAAATTACAATTCATGTGAGAAATAAATGCAGTCATTGTTTTAAGACACTAAGCTTTGGGGTGGTTTGTGAAGCAGCAGATACCCAGGTACTGATTTGCAAATCTCTACTAGAAATATCCACATATCTAAACAAAACCTTGTAACAGTTACAACATTTTATGCATTATAAATTACAGTTGCTTTATGGTCCCTAGCTTTATCACTGCCTAACTCTGGGGCCTTCAGTAGACCAGTCTTCTGAGTTTCATTTTCTGTGATTGTAAGATATAAAAATACTTGTCTTTTAAAAAACCATTTATGAAGATTATATAGCAACAAGGAAAATGATGATATATTGTAGGTTATAAAACTGGATTCAAATGATTACAACTGTAAAAATGTGCAGATGAGAAATAGATTAGATTAGTGGGCTTAAAATAATTTTCCAAATTTCTGTGAGATTATTTACTTTAGTAATCAAAAAAACGTTAAGTGCTTAAAAAAATCCCATTGCGAATTCCCAGCCCAAACTTGGGGAATGGGTTGGGTTATTTCTTCTCACTGACCTCCCTGCTGGTTAAATCATGTAAAGTGGCTTGGAAGAGGAATGGGGACAAAATAACATCCTGTTACTTGGAGTTTGGAGGGCAATCAAGGATATACTCCAGAACTCAGATTTCCTGCCTCTCTGGCCAGTGCACCATTCCCTTACACTGTAGGCTCTTAATACTAGTTAGTTTTTTACCTATATGGGTTAAGCATGAAAACCAATGCCACATTAAATATTCTTCTTTTAAATAAGCAGCAATCCCAGCTATCTGAGCTCAGAAGCCATGGAATCCAATGGTCAGGGGCATGGGTTGGAAACCTGCCTCCCCCAAGTACTGTTTGGGGTCTTTGCAGATGTAAGTAAGGATCTTGAGTGGAGATCATCCTGGATTACACAGATGGGTCCTAAATCCAATGATAAGTGTTCTTATAAGAGAGGAAGACAGCAGAAGACCATGTGAGGATGGAAGTAGAGATTGGGGTTATGTAGCCACAAACTGAGGAATGTCTGGAGCCATCAGAAGGTGGAAGTGGCAAAGAAGCGTTTCTCCTTTAGGGCCCCAGGGGGAACACAGCCCTGTGGGCACCTTGATTTCAGGCTTCTAGCCCTCAGAACTGTGAGAGAATACATTTCTGTTGTTTTAAGCCACCGCGTGTGGGCTAATTTGTTATGGCGGCTCTAGCAGACTAGTGGAATGGGTGAATCTCACAACCACAACATTGAACGAAAAAAATACTCAGGATACAGGGAAAAATGATATTTAAATAAAGTTTTAAAAACATGAAAACTGATACTTTGCATTATATTAATATATATTAATATATTATATATTAATAAAAACATAAAGAAACAAATGGGAATGATAAACACCAAATTTAGGAAGTGGGAACTGTGAAGGAAAACGAGGGAACACAGTGGGGGTACACAGAGGGCTCCAGATGTATTGATAATACTGTGTTAAGCTGAGTGAAGAGGTCAAGCATGATCAATATCATATTTTAATTTTTTATTTAATTTTTTATATTAATGGGTCTTGCTGCTTTTTGTTTGTTTTAAGATTTTATTTATTTATTTGACAGAGAGAGACACAGCGAGAGAGGGAGCACAAGCAGGGGGAGTGGGAGAGGGAGAAGCAGGCTTCCCACTGAGCAGGGAGCCCGATGCGGGGCTCGATCCCAGGACCCTGGGATCATGAGCTGAGCTGAAGGCAGACCCTTAACGACTGAGCCACCCAGGCGCCCCTCAATATCATATTTTTAATACCATTGTGTAGGACTAAACTATTTCATAATAAATTTAAAATCATGTTTAAAAGGAAAAAAGGAGAAGGACAAGAAGGAAGGTTGATAGCACCTTGAGGGCGGGAGCTTCTTTCTTGGGTAATGCGTGACCTTTCAAATGTCAGCCAGAACAACATGATTTGGTGCATGTGTTGTCTCCTGATACTTAATAAGCAGATGAAAATCACTTTGTTAGTATTCAGAGTTCTGATGTCATTTATAAATAATTCCAGTAGTAACCTTTTTCATTGGAAAAACACCTGTGTAGTGCTGACTCTGATTACTCCCTGTGGATATTGCTTAGCTAAAAATTAATATATCATACTTTCTAGAATGACAGACTGTGGGCTGGAATAAGAGAAAACAGTAATTTATAAGATGGAGTAATCACTGGACGATCCAGGTACTATTTACTGACTTTCTTCTTTGTTCTCAAGCCAGCAAAATTATTGAGTCCACAATCCCAGAGTCCTTTATTAGGCTTAATCTTAGGTTGTCTATCAAAAACAATACTGTCGTGGATTAATAAGCACCACAAACCCATAATAAGCGGCACAGGCCTTTCGTCCTCCGTGGCAGTAAGTGAGCTCAGCTGAAGCATTATCAAAGTGTGACTGACTAGCTGGGCTGCCAAGCCCTTGCTCCCTTAGTGTGGCTGAAGCGCCTCCCTGGCTGCGCTCTCTGGAATATCCACGAGGTGGCAGCAACTCCTCGGCAGCCAACCAGGGGCTCCACGGGCAACTGCGGCCGCCATTGACTTCCTCCTCACCAACAGGGCGGTTGTAGTTTCAAAGTCAGATTTGGTTGTTTCTTTTAGAGCTGGGATTTAGAGCAGTCTCACATTTCTTCCTTCGTTTTTTTCGGTACACTAGGTGAAATACTTTATTATGTTTAAAACATGCCTATTTTCCAAATTTACTAGGCCTGTGAATAATTTTAAGTAAGACATTTATATTGTGAAGGCACAGGGGAAGTCAACATCTGCAATAACCAAAGAAACAGATGATCTTTCAAACAATTTGCATTTTATAAAGGGCGGAATCATGATAGCAGGTAAAATATGGCTGGTACCAGGGGTCTCTTCTTGCAGGGCGCTTTCGCCCAAATCCAGACTCAGCTGGGAAATGTCACATCAAGTCTCTAGTCTGCTTACTCTGTCTTACAGTGCCCAGATTCGGAAGCTCTGAGCCCTTGAGCACCTAGGCCCCTAAAAGGATGATTAGATAATAGTGGTCCTCAGAAATTTCTGAGCTGACACTGCCTTTTTTTTTCTTCTTTTTTTAAGTTGGCTCCACACCCAGCATGGAGCCCCACAGGGGGATGAACTCAAGACCCTGAGATAAGATTTGAGCTGAGATCAAGAGTCAGATGCTTAACTGACTGAGCCACCCAGGTGCCCCACCTAATTTTCAGTGTAAGGAAGACTCTCTCACATTCCTCAGATATAAACATTCTAAGCATGCTTGGGATGTATAAAGAAAAAGAACCGTGAACTAGAAAAATGCCTTCTCTCAACTGTTCATAAATGTAGAACACTAGAAACAATGTGGTGAGAGAATGAACACTGGCTTTGGCATCTGGGAACACAGATTTGAGCCCTTTGCCTAAGGAACTGTGGGATCTGGGATATCTCTTCTGTGTAATGGATTTAATAATATCTCTCCGCCTGACCTCCTGGGTCTGTGAGACTCACAAAGAACACATAATCTAGATGCTCAATAAATGTTTGTTGAATATAGTTGAAATCAGTATAAATGATGGTGACAGGAATTTGAAAGATGTATTTTAATAAACAACCCAAAATACATAACTGTAGGGTTTTATAACTAAAACATAATGTAGTAATGGTTTTCAGAAATGAACAATGAATATCCTTCCACCCATCCTGAGTAGTGGTTTTCAGTTCTGGGAAGATTTTCAAAATTCCCAGTGACCAGGGGTTTTTGTGTTGTTTGGTTTGTGTTAATTGGTTGGTTGGTTAAGCCCTCTGGGTGATGATAACAAACAGCCAGGATTGAGAACCACTGCTCTAGGGCAAAAGTAAGTTAGTGCCATTACTGAGTATTGGTTATAATTGAATCAGAGTAGAAATGAGTTTCTAGTTAAAAAAAAAAGTCTACTATTTCTGGCCGGAAATACAGGGCTATGTCTGGATCGCTTTTCTTTATTATGACACTCTTCTTTTTCTCTTTGTACAAAAGAAAAACTGCTTGATGCAGAAAATGTGAAAAACATGATGAAAATAAAACAACAAAAAAAGCACTGTATATCTGTAGCCCCCGGAAATACGGGGGCATGCCCTTGCAGTGTCTTTTTTCTTGTGTATATTTCTAGAATGAAAATGGAATCAGGCCACGTTTTGTAGCCGGTTTGTTTACTTGGGAATATGATGTGGACATCTTCCCATACCAATGAACTTTCTTCCAGGACATGGCTTTTAATGGCTACTTTGCGGCTATTAGATACGTCATCATTTCTTTATTTTCTTGTTATCTAACTTTAGATTGTTTTCAGTTATTCTATTCTTTTTTTTTTTTTAAGATTTTTATTTATTTATTATTGAGAGAGAGAGAGAATGATAGAGAGAGAGCATGAGAGGGAGGAGGGTCAGAGGGAGAAGGAGGCTCCCTGCTGAGCAGGGAGCCCGATGCGGGTCTCGATCCCGGGACTCCAGGATCATGACCTGAGCCGAAGGCAGTCGCTTAACCAACTGAGCCACCCAGGCGCCCCTCAGTTATTCTATTCTTTTTTTTTTTTTTTAAAGATTTTTATTTATTTATTTGACAGAGAGAGACACAGCGAGAGAGGGAACACAAGCAGGGGGAGTGGGAGAGGGAGAAGCAGGCTCCCTGCAGAGCAGGGAGCCCGATGCGGGCCTCAATCCCAGGACCCTGGGATCATGACCTGAGCTGAAGGCAGTCGCTTAACCAACTGAGCCACCCAGGCGCCCCAGTTATTCTATTCTTATAAAGATATTACGATAAATTCCTGTAATACAGTTTTTGCACAAAGCTCTGATAACTCCTTTGAATAATGGCCCCACCTTTTATATTTACTCCTGATCAGTTTGAGCAGGCTTTAGATGAATCACAAACAGGAAGATGAACTTCTCAGAAGTCCTGATGCCAATGACCTACCTCCACATTCCAGAAGTAGCTCCAGAACAGCTGAATCTGTTAGCCAATACTGTCAGGTAGGAGAGCTCAAAATTAGCCGAATATTCACTAGATTAGTGGTGCTCAAAGTTCAATGTATGTATGAATCTTGTCAAATGCAGAGCTTGTCAAATGCTGATCTGGGGTGGAGGCTGAGGTTCTGGTTTTCCATCTGGCTCCCAGGTGATGCTGATGCTGCTGGTCAGTGGACCACATTTGAGCAGGAAGGACCAAGATTATATTCCCATTAGACCAAGTATACCTATGTCTCATCTTTGCGTTTCCTAATTGTATAAAACACAATGACGTCCACAAATAAAGGGGCAGAGTTGAAATGACTATCTATTTTCAATAATGTGTTTATTCAAGCCAGTTCATTTGGACCTTGCTTTTGGAAGAAAAATTTAGCTCTTTATTTTTAGCATTCTCTCTAATTTCCAGAGGACCATAGGCAGCTTTTCTTTCCATATTAGTAATTCTATAAAAGAGAAAAATCAAGGATTTATATCTGAGACTGATGCTATATCATGGATCCCCAAATGTGAATGAAGCAGCTTGCCCTTTCCTCCATTCATTATTGGAATCTTTCAACTATCACCGGTGGCCTGTTGGAAATCTGAATTGTGAAGAACACGCTTAGTGATTTTCAGGAAATATCACATTTTTTTTTTAACCAGGAAAAAATAAATAAACAAATACTTCACCGTTTTTGTTTTAACAAGGTAAGGTAACCCACCATATACTTTGAATATTGACAGTTGGCATTTAAACAACTTCTATTACAAAAGAACAATGCATGTTCATTGTAGGAAATTTGGACACGTTAGAAGGTAGAAAAAAGAATTAAATGCCATCACCCAGAGATAATTATCATTGTTAATAATCTACTACAGGGATGCCTGGGTGGCACAGTTGGTTAAGCATCCGACTCTTGGTTTTGGCTCAGGTCCTGATCTCAGGATCATGAGATCTAGCCCTGTGTGGGGCTCTGTGCTCAGGGCAGAGTCTACTTAGGATTCTCTCCCCCTCTCCCTACCCCTCCAGCTCATCCTTGTGCGCTCTCTCTCTCAAATAAATAAATAAATCTTAAAAAAATCTATTACAAGCATCCCCATGTACCTCAGCAATTTAGGAAAATCCTCATCCCCTCTTTGGTTCATAAAATCCACTTCCAGACACAAATCTCATGCAATTTTTCTGCTCCTTATCCTAGGAAGTAGGCATAGTAAATCCAACACACCCTTAAGAACTATTTCTTTTTCACATCCTTTGTCAGTCATATTAAATTGTTTTATTGGGGGAAAATTATTAAATCACCTAAACTTTTATAATATTTATTCACATAGTAATATTATTCTACTTGTTTTTATAAGTGGATATTTAATTATTTAATGGTTTCTAGGTTTTTTTTTTTTAACATCAGTTTAGCAACCCTTCCTTACCGAGTCAACAGCCCACAATATGACAAGCTAATTAAATTAATTAACCCCTGCATGTCAGCTCACATACTGTGTTCAGTCAGTTAAAATACCACAGATACTGTAGAATAATTATTAGACCCATGATTTGATCAGTGTTTCAGACTTTATAATAGGTCCACATACAGATATTTCGTATATACTTTATTATGTTGTCACCACAGCAACTCTGTGAAATGTTAGTTTTATCTCTGTTTTATAAGTGACAGAATTGAGGTGCGAAGATGTTAAGTGATTTACTAAAAATCTCACATTCAGGGAGTGGTGAAACAGTGAAAATGGGACCTTTTAAAATTTTCTTCTACTGACTCATTTTGTTCTTAATTTCTCCATTAAAATGTTCAGAATAAAAACGTCTTCATTTAAAAATATAAGATACAAAGATGCAGATGTTTATGCTTCTTCCTATGCTGTAAAAATTCCTTTATCTCTGAAAATAAAGGTATAAGATACATACGGGAACCCTGCACTATCTTTTCAGTTTTTCTGTAAATCTAAAACTACTCTTGAAAAGTTTATTTAAATGGGGGTGCCTGGGTGTCTCAGTCAGTTAAACTTCTGCCTTCGGTTCAGGTCATGATCTCAGGGTCATTTAGGTCATGAATTTGGGGTCCTGGGATTGAGCACCGCATGGGGCTCCCTGCTTGGTGGGGAGTCGGCTTCTCTCTCTGCCCCTCCCCCCTCGTTTTCTCTTTCTCTCTCTCAAATAAATAAATAAAATCTTTTTTAAAAAGTTTATTTAGGGGCGCCTGAGTGGCTCAGTTGGTTAAGCGACTGCCTTTGGCTCAGGTCATGATCCTGGAGTCCCGGGATCGAGTCCTGCATCGGGCTCCCTGCTCGGCAGGGAGTCTGCTTCTCCCTCTGACCCTCCCCCCTCTCCTGCTCTCTCTCTCTCTCTCAAAAAAAAAAAAAATCTTTAAAAAAAAGTTTATTTAAAAGTATAAAAAGATAATCTTATAAAATGACATACATCAAAAAAATTTTACATATACCTTGTCAAAATATCTTTTATGTAAATAGTTGTTAACTAATTTCCACTTCTGCCTTCACAGCCTTATAATCCTGTGGTGTCCTACAACCACAGACCTCTGGTCCTCGTGATATTCAAGACGGCTGAGACCATCCAGCCAAGAGACACACCCCACAGAATCTAGAGTCTCTCAGTACAGTGGAGTATCTTTTCTAGTGTGGCCAAAGACACATTTCTCATCTAGGTTTCTAATTCTTTCCATCCCAGGAACATGCTGGCGTCCATAAATTAAATTTCACCCTTTGGAAGATGAGCATTGCTCGGGGTGATTGCCTCAGCACCCTGGCTGCCCTTCAGGGCCAGTTCAACATGGATGTGTCCCCTCACTGTCCAGGAGCCCACAATCCCGCCATAGGCTTTTCTGGAACTGCACAACCACGACTGGCTGACAAGTCTTCCTGTAGAGTGATAGCACAGGATCAGGTCAGTTTGCCTGCCTGATGGCGTTATACTAAAAGTTACCTTTCTTTTAGGAGTAAACAGAATTTAAGTGTTTATCAACCCCTTTTTGTTAAAAAAGACTCATCTTTGCCTACTCTTTTCCTTTCCATCTTTTGCTTCCAACAATGGATCTGCCAGAGAGTTTCTTGGAGCTTTGGGAAATTGAATTTGGAGGAAAGACTGAGAATGAGAAGTGCTCAGGCTGGTGGTGGTAGAAAAATTGAACCTCTGATTTTTAGGTGGGCATGCAGCCTTCCAGAACCTCTAGCTCCCTTGCAGCTAGGCATGGCCATATGATGTGGCCATATGGCTAAATTCTGGCCAATGGGCCGTGAGCCAAAATAATGTGTGCAACTTCTGGGTTATGCCTCTAAGAGGAAGGGGTGTGACTTCCTTCTCTCCCTCTTTCTGCTAGCAGGAATATGGGTGTGGGAAGGGAACATCCTGGTCATGAAGATGAGAGCAATATTCGAGCGATAATAGAGCAACAAGAGAGAAAAAAACCTGGGCCCTTGACTACTTTACAAAAGAAAGCCACCAAACTTTCACATGGGAGAGAAATAATCTTCCAACTGATTAGAGCCATTGCATGCCATTCTTACCTACTTGAGTGGATTTCCTCCCAATGTCAATATCTGTGTCAGCCCCTGGAGTACCTTTCAGGCGCTGGGCCCTCCCAGCAACCCCTACTCCACTATGATTAACTAGGCCAGGTTTAGGATACTGCGAAGTATAATTTGTTCAGTACTTTCTCTACTCTCTCTTTCTCATGTGGTTTGTAGATATGCTGTCTGTGAAAAGCATTACACAATGTTCTTGTCCTCATTCTGTTCTTTGCTTGAAGCTTTCAATCAATCAATCTTTCTTACTCTCTCTAAGGCTGTTACTAAGCTCACCACTTTTGTGCTGTTGGCATTTATTAAGGCTGTACATTCTGTGGTTCTGCGGCTCATTCCCAGCTAGACTTGTTGCACAGTAGAGTGGGGCAATTTATCGCCTTCAGAAAATTTTATCTGCACTTACGTAGGAAAAGGACAGGCTCTCTCACATAAAACTGCTGGGAAGATTACTTTTCCAAGGAAAACAAACACATTCTCACTGTTCTATCTCTCAACACAGCCCCTCTTGCAAGAACTGGATCTCGACCAGATCCAGAGACTGAAATCAGCTCCACCCCGTCCCTACAGGAAAGCTAGCAACTGTGGGGGATGGAGGGTCATTCACGCCAGCCAGAGAAAATTGCATCTTGAGACAGAACAATTGGTAGTCCAGCCAAGCTGTTGGCGCCAGAAAGATGTTGCAAGAATTACAGTGGCCTCTTTATTGGAAAGAAGAACGTGGCCCTGAGAAACCCAGGAGCAAGTTATATTTGGAGAGCTAGGCTGGTAGTTGGTATTAGAGAGGTCTGTCAGCAGAGAGCAGGACTCTAGGCATCAGGCACAAGCTTAATGACAGGACTTTGGGCCCTAGAGTGGTGATTCCCAACTAGAGGTGATTTTGTCTCTCCGGGAACACGTGGCAATATTTGGAGACATTTGTAGTTGTTATAATTGAGGGGTGCTAATGGCATCTAATGAGTAGAGCCCAGGGATGCTGGCAAGCCTTCTATAATGCGTACAGCAGCCCCTGCACACAGACAGACACAATAAAAAATTGTCCAGCACAAAGTGTCAGTGGTGCCAATGCTGAGACACCCTGTCCTAGAGGGACTAATCTTAAAAGGGCAGAACCCCCCATCTCTGGGACGTTGGGGGTCCTGAACAGCCTGCCAAGGTGCAGGCTCAAGAACAGGAAAGTAAGATCTGGCCCTGATACCAAAGTTAGGCTGTAGGTCAGACAGGCAGGACCAAATCTCATTATCAGAACTGACATAGAATGTCATGGCCAGATTAGGAGCAAAGTACATTCGTACCAAATCCCTAGGGGATCCCACTAGCACAGCTTAAACCCTCGAGAGAACTAGGAGGATTGTTTTACAGCAGGATTCTTAACCTAGTTCCACAAACTTTTGGAGGCAGGGAAAGATCCATGCATATAGATAAGGGGATCTTGACCTTCCTCAAATTATATGCAAAATTATGTGTTTTTGCATTTTGCTGGAGTAAGGATGCAAAGCATCCTTTGGGATCTAAACATGGGCAGAAGACCCAGAAAAGGTCAAAACCCACTGTTGATGGCCTGGGGCATCAAGTTGAGCCTGCAGGAGAGGAACACAAGGTCTTAAGGAAGAGGAAAGATGAAAAACTAATGAAAACATCTAGCAGTAATTACACACAGCATCTGGCTCCTGTTCTGCTGCCTAACCCAGATCATTTAATCTTCGTAATAATCTTATGAAGCACATACTTTTTCAATCCCATTTCATAGATGAAGAAACTAGGGCTAGACTTTCTCTGAGACAATGCTTCCTAACTTTCCTCACAGCATGGCACACGCACACACACACATACACACACACATACACACACGGGCTATGATATAGAAAAACTGTTAGAATTAATAACAGACTTTAGTAAGCTGGCCATAAATCAGATCAATAAACTACAATTGCAAATTTATACTTTGGCAACAAATATTTAGAAAACACAATTAGAAGAAAGATGCCGATTGCAATGATGACAAATTATGAGGCACTTTGGAATAAATCCAACAAAACATATGCAAGATCTTTATGGAGAAATCAAAAAGTTTAGTAATATATATCAAAGGCACAGTGGGGTAAAGGGACAAGGATGCCTATGACCAGAGGCAACTTGGCCAGAGCAGCCCCACGTCTGCTTCTCACCTGCCTGTCTTGGCCTCTTCGGGGCTGAGGGCTTAAAATCTCTAAAACCCATTCAGAACCCGTCAGTTTGCTTCCATGGCACACCAGATAGAAAACCCTGCTATTGCCATTAAAGAAATTGAATTATAAATCTTCCAACAAAGAAACCACTAGGCCCAGCTATTTCTAATGGCAAGAACAGCCAAACATTCAAGAGACAATTTCAATCATACATGAAATCTTGCAGAATAGGAAAAGCGGGCATAGTGTCCAACTCATTATCTGAAGCTAGCGCAACCTTCATTCTAAAACCAGGCAAAAACTGGGAAAAGAAACTTTCAGGCCAATCTAAGGTCAATAGACAAAACATAATTGCAAATCTACAATTCAGCGACACCTACACAGAAAGGAACAATGCTAATTACAATGGCAACAAAAAATATAAGGCACCTTGGAATAGATCTAACAAAAGGTGTGCAAGTCCTTGATGGAAAAAAATCATAAAACTTCAGTAAAGGACTGGGTGGCTCAATTAGTTAAGCTAAGCTTCTGCCTTCAGCTCAAGTCATGATCCTGGGGTCCTGGGATCGAGCCCCCCATCAGGCTCCCTGCTCAGTGGGGAGTCTGCTTCTCCCTCTCCCTCCCCACCTCATGCTGTCTCTCAAATAAATAAATAAAATCTTTTTTTAAAAACTTCAGTAAAAGACATTAAAGATGTCAACAATATTTCCCTAAAACGACCTATAGATTTAATGATATTCTGTTCATGGAAGTTGATAAGCTGGTCCTAAAATATCAGTGAACAAAGAAACAAGAATGGCCGAAACAGTCCTGGAGATGGACAAATAGAAGGAATAACCGAAATACCAACTATTGAGATTTATTATAAGGTCTTTAGTAATTTGGGACGTGGTATCAGTTCAGAGATAGATCAATGGACCAAAACAGAGTCAAGAGTAAGATCCATGAATAGATGAATATACGGAAAACTTATTTATGGCATTGCAGATTAGGAGGAGGACAGACCCTTCAGTACTAACTGATGAGTCATAAGAGGGAAAGAGTTAAGTGAATTCCTACCTCACACTATACACAAAAATCCATTCTAGATGGATAAAAGACTTAAAGGCAAAACTTTAAAATTTTAGAAGACTACGTAGAATATTGTTTCTAATTATGAGGTAACAAAGGATTTCTTGACACAAAACTGGCAGCATAAATTCAACTACACTAAAATAATAAAACTGCTGCTCCTCAAAAGATATCAAGAGAGTGAAAACAGAAGCCAAAAACTGGAGGAGGAGACACTCAGGTTTAGTAACCAGACATACGCACTCCTTTGAATTGATAAGAAAAAGATAACAACCTACTAAACAGATGAACAAATAGCAACAGCCTTGAACAGAAGAACACATCTAGGTGGTAAATAAACGTATGAAAATACGCTCACCCTCATTAGCTGCTAGAGGATTACAATGAGTTCCTGTTTTATACTCATCAGATTGGCAAATATGAAAAAGTCTGACATTAGCAAGTGTTGGTGAGAATTTGTAGTAATGGTTACTATCATATACTGTTAGATGGTAATCTGTAACTATCCAGGAAAGCTGAACATGTGCATTAACCCTCCCACCAAGCAGTTTCTCTTCCGGTGTGGTAAGCAGACTTTCGGGATGGCCCCTCATGAGCTCCCCCTCTTAGTTCCCATGCCTGTGGGTAATTCCCTCCCCTTGAGCTGGGCTGCACCAACAGCATACAGCAGAACTGACGGGCGCCACCTCTGAGACAAGGTTTCCAAAAACTGACTTCTGCCCAACTCTCATTCTCTCTCTTCTTGCTTACCTCTGAGAAGCAAGCTGTAGCTGTGGAGAGAGACCCACAAGGCAAGGAATGAGGACCAGAGAGGACAACCAGAGAGGAACTGAAGCTCTGAGACCAACAGTCCAGGAGGAACGGACTCTTGCCAACAGCCCAGGAGGAATGGACTCTTGCGAACAACCAAGTAAGTGAGCCTGGAGCAGATTCTTCCCCTGAAGATGACTGTAGCACTTGCCCACATCTCGATAGCAGCCTTGGGAGAGCTCAGGGTCAGAGGACCCAGAGGAGCCGCATCTGGATTGCTGATCCAGGGATCCCGGAAACTGTGAGATAATAACTGTGTTATGTTAAGCTGTTAAATCTGGGGGTGATTTTTTATGCAGCAGTAAATAACTAGTACGTCTGAATACAAGCACATCAGTACATGGAGTCTGGGGTACAGGTGAGCCCAGGAGGTTGATCCTTCAATCACTGGGGCTGCCAAGAGCAAGTAGGTCGAGGCGGGGCTGGGATCAATAGAGTTCAAGAGCAGACTCATCTGTTTACCCGAGTGCGCTATACAATATTATGGGGTTTTTCTGTATGTGTGTGCCATTATGTGAAAAAAGTAGGAAAGCATGAGGCTATAAAATAATCTCTCTTTCTTGTGAAGAGTGTTTGGTAATTGATATTTTCTGGGACAATGTCCTCAATGGTTCATCACCTGAGAACTTGCTAAAAATGCAAACTTTCAAACTGCATCTCAGATCTATGAAATCAGGGACTCTTGTTGGGTGGGGGCAGCAATCTGTGTTTTTAAAGGCTTTCCAGATGATTGGGTACAGGTGAAAGTTTGAAAAGAATTGTTCTAAGAATTTGTGCATTTCATCTGTTTTCAAATTTATTGACAAAGGTGTTCCAGTATTTTCCTAAGTCCTTTTAGCATCTAAGTTATGTAGTCTTTTCATGCTATGTTGTTGGTGTTTTCTCCTCATTCTTGGTCAAGCTCTCTGAGGGTTTGTCACTACTCTTACTCTTTTCAAAAGGTGTACTTTGCTGTTTATTTTCTGTTTCATTAATTTTTTCGCTTATTATTTCCATCCTTCTACTTTCTTTAGGTTTATTTGTTATTCCATTCCTGTTAACCAAATATTTGGGAGCACTTTTAACCAAATATTTGTCTTAGATTTATTAGGGAGTAGATAACACAGATGGTATAAATTCTGGCCCCAAACGTGCTGTAACAAATTTGTGGTTAGATATTCTCCAAGTATTTTCCCCCATTTTTTCTTTTTATTTAGATCTAAAGATGACAGGTAAATTCCCCTCACTGTCTCTCTCTGTAGGGTGTTCCACCCTCACCACCACCCCCCAGTTCAACCATCTTGAATGGACCTAGTATAACCTTTCTAGAATTCTGGCTTCATGTGGGAAATTTCCAGGCCGTCCTCTCAGCACTTACAGGCCTTGTGTTTTTGTCTATCCTCTTCAGCATATGGCTACCAAAGTTAACTAGAAACCTCTGGCAAACACCAGCATCAGACAGGCCTACCTCTTGGGACTTTTACTTTTTTATTATCTGTGGCAGGGATATTCTTCCTTTTCCCAATAGGCCAGCCAAGTATTTTAAAAGGTATTTAAAAGTATGTTTTGGGGCCCCTGGGTGGCTCAGTCATTAAGTGTCTGCCTTCGGCTCAGGTCATGATCCCAGGGTCCTGGGATCGAGCCCCACATTGGGCTCCCTGCTCCGTGGGAAGCCTGCTTCTCCCTCTCCCACTCCCCCTGCTTGTGTTCCCTCTCTCGCTGTCTCTCTCTGTCAAATAAATAAATAAAATATATTTTTTAAAAAGTATGGTTCGGGGTGCCTGGGTGGCTCAGTCAGTTAAGCGTCTGCCTTCGGCTCAGGTCATGATCCCAGGGTCCTGGGATCCAGCCCCACATCGGGCTCCCTGCTCAGTGGGGAGTCTGCTTCTCCCTCTCTCTCTGCTGCTCCCCCTGCTTGTGCTTGCTCTCTCTGTCAAATAAATAAAAAATGAATAAATAAATAAAAGTATGTTTCATCCAGAATTTTAAATTCCATATTGGAAGACATTCTCTGGACATCTAGTCTTCCATAGAACTAGAAATAGAAGGTATCCTGTTTATAACATAAACATCTTCTTTGTCTTTTCCTTACTTTCTAAGTTGAATACTCCTTTCATTTTTAAAAGCTTTCTTATTTTTTTATATTTTAAGCTATAAATTTCCTTCTGAACGCTGCTTTACCCCACAATAATGATCTAGATAAAATTTTGTTACTATGCAATATTACTATTGCGTAGGTGCAGTGCAAAATGATCTTTATATATATTCCCAATAATCTTCACCAACACCCAATGAGATATGTATTATTATCATTTATCATTTTATCAAGGAGGGAATTGAAGTAAAGAAAAAGTAAGTAATTTCCCTAGGATCATTAAAGATAGGTAGCATGTAGGGAAGCTAAGATTCCAACCCAAGTTTGCCTGAATTCAAAATGAGTTCTTTCAACCAAATCAATCTATTTTCTGGAAAATTAAAAAAAAAAAAAAAGGAGGGGAATATTTGAATTTGAGATGAGAGCGAAAAGGAAAAAATGACATCATTTGATTTTAGTGTTAGAGTAAAAAGTACCTCACAGTTTGAACTAAGGGAAGGTGCAGGTTGTTAAGGGAATAATAACAATCCAACCCAAACTCAGAGAACATGTTGCAAACTGAGGACGTGTTGCAAGTAGTAACAGGTGTGTACGAACACCGTCTGGGCTCCCAGGTGCTCTGACAGAAACTCGTCTTTCCCAACCATCCAAATTGTTATTAATTTGCACCTCCTTGGCAATATCTCAATTTATGAAAAAACCAACTTGCCATCCAAACGGCCGTATTTGTAATGTATAGAACCATCACTGACCAACATATTTTTAGCCCCAAACAAAATGGTCTCTTCTACTAATCCCAGACCTTGGCTCCAAGCCAACTGGCTTCTTGCTTTTATTATTTGCAACAGAATCCAGGATTCAGAGCGAATAAAAGAGCTGAACAAGAATATAACTCCCGGTAATATTGTCTCTGCACCTCGTGCACTTATCCTTTTTGTCTCTCCCCAGGGGAAAAGCAGTTATTCTTACTTATGCTCAATCCAGTTGTTCCCCACAGCGGCCATGTAAATCTTGGCACCGAGTATGCAGCAGAATAAAAAGTCAAGGCGGTGGGAGGTGCTCACGACAGCAACGGGCGGCCGCAAAGCCCCAAACTGTTCCATCCATTTTCTGCTAAAAATAAAGGGTTCTATTCATCAAAAACTTTTATATATTCTTATGGTTTTTCTTACAAAAAAAAGCGCCAACATGATATGCAGGCAAAGAATAACAACTCCCAGTTCACAAACCATGCCATCCTTTCATTTCCCAGAGTAAGCAAATAATCCAGAGAGAGGACAAGTGGGAGAGGTTGGCATTTGCCGTATTCGCCAGACAAAAAACGTCTTCTGCTAAAAGGGATCTGACCTCAAATTAGACATCGAAATTGTTCAGTTTGAGGGAAACGGTCTCCTTTCTGCACACCCATTTAACCAAATGAATTACCCAGAGCCTGCACGGGAGAGATGTTATAGCTTTGTTTTAATGCGGCTTCTAAATATTCTAGGTTTCTTATCATTTCTTCCCAGCCAAGGAGAACTGATTAGTTTGAATTTACCAAAATTGAAAGGTTATTTAGGCCTTATTTTTTTTACTGTCTCCCATTTCCTTTCAATCTTTAAGAACGATCTTTCTGTTTTAAGTCCAAATTATTGTATGCTTTAGAAAGTTTCCTCTACTTATTAACATAATAGTACTAAAATTTTTAAAGAGTTAAAAAATCACAATCCCACCCACCCTACTAAAAAGTCAGCTGGTTTCCATTTTCTAGGCTTCCTCTCTGCTCTAAATTTGCATGCATTCATCGTATGTCCACACATACATAGTTGTAAAATCCTACATAGATTGGATTTTAAAAATCCCTAACATTTTTTCTGTTTCTTTTTTCCTTTTGTGTTAGCAGATCAGTTTGCCTAGAGAAGGAATCACATTGGCCCAGTAGGGCTACTCATTGTTTGTCATTATTCCACACATGTAAATCCTACCTCTCTAACAAGACCAGAAAATCCTTTTTTTCCTATTTTCTTTTGGGCTTTCCACAGACTCTGGGAGAGTGTTCAGTGCATAGAAAGTGCTTCAATGGTAGAATGTTTTCAGTTATTCATTTGCTTTGCTAGGTATTCCCTTGAGTGAAATGAGAGTTTATTGAATTGGATTTATTGAATTGAATTTAAATTTCCCATTAGTAAGACTTAAGTTACTTGAAAGACACAGGAATTTTACTAACCAACACCTCCAGAGCAGCAAGTCACTGTGTGCATGGTCTCCCAAACATACCAGCCTCTTCCATGCCTGTCTGTCCTTGCTTCTGCTATCAATCTGGAAAGCACATTTTCGTTCTTTTAAAATGTTGTACAAAGTCTGCCTTCTTTAATGAAGGCTTTCTCTAACCCCACCCCAAGAGAGAAACCACCAATCTCTTCTTCAGGCCACTCTAAACTTTGTGCGTACTTTATTATAGTAATTTATTTATTATATGACCACTTCCCCATGAGAATGTAAGCTCCCTGAAGTTAAGAACTGTATTTTATTCATCTTTGTGCTTCCAGCATCTTCCATGGTTCTTTGGATATCATGATCTCTTCAGAGCATACATTGGATGTCACATGGCTACTGGACACACCTACCTTAGTGGTCTTACAGCTAATGTAATGGGAAAGCAAGTTTAGGTAATTTCACAGCATGAGAAGCATGTCAGAGAACAATGCAGCAGACCGTAATGCCACCATTTCTCTGCTTCAAATGTTCTGACAAGGAGAATAAAAAAATATGACAACAAAAAAATGCCAAATGGCTTCAGACCTATTCTATGAATTTAAAAGATAAACCAGTTATTTTAAAAAATGTTTTTTTCTTTTTCTTTTTCTTTTTTTAGAGAGGGAAAAAGAGGGATGGGGAAGGGGCAGAGGGAGTGGGAGAGAGAGAATCTTAAGCAGACTCCACACCTAGCATGGAGCCCCATGTGGTGCTCGATCTCACAACACTGAGATCATGACCTAAGCCGAAATCAAGAGTTGGATGCTTAACCAACTGAGCCACTCAGGTGC